GCGTGTACACCTGACGCGCACTCGTTCTGAGGTACCCCGCGCGCGTCAGTTCTTGGCACGCACTCGAAAATAAAACACTGCACTCGTTTTCAAATCCACTAAGTTCTGTAAAATATCGACAAAGGTAAGTTTCTAACATTCCAATACTATTTCAGCACTGACATGGTAGTAGTACTACCACTACCACTACCACTACTACCACCACCACTACCACCACCACCACCACCACTACCACCACCACCACCACCACCACCACCACCACCACCACCACCACCACCACCACCCTCCTACCCCACCACCCTCCTACGCAGAAATGGATACTGTGTATGAATCCAAGGAATATAAGGCATACCAGGTAAGTACCTATCTACCGTTACGGTAACGTTACTGTAACGGTTCTAATAACTTTCTAGGCTGCTGTCGCGAGTAAGAATTGGGAGATTTTCCCGGCCTTTGAACCAGACGCAGCTGGCGAGTGTGTTGTCCACCATGGCGAGAACGTCTGTCGCCTCCAGCGAGGTGAAGGTATCTGTGGCGTAAGTTATACTATCTGTCAACCGTTACGGTAACGTTAGCTAACCATTCTAGAAAACCTACAATGGAATAAGCAAGACCACCAATCTCCGCTCCCATATCAAGGACCATGAGGGATATCGGGTAAGTTACCTAACTTACTTATATTTTGGGATCTCTTACTAATAAATGGTATTAGGCTAAGCCAGCCAAGAAGGGGACTGTGAGCCAGGCTGAGGTTGACAATACGCGCAGTGAGTATTGTTACCCTAACGGTTCTCTAACATTTACTAATTACCTTAGATTTCTTCGCCCACTTCCTCCAAGCCCCACCACCAGCGCCACTGCCAGCGCCAACCTCAACGCCAAAGTAAGTACCTTGATAGTACTATTATCCTAACGGTTGGCTAACAGTACTAGGTCCAAGAAGAAGGACAAGGCTTCCTCTGCCTCTGCCTCTGGCAGCCGCCCGCAGGGGGTAAACAAGAAGTAAGTTACCCTACTAACGTTACGGTACCATTCCGCTAATATTATTCTAGGAGCACCCCAAGTAAGCCCTCCAAGAAGTCTGGTATTAGTGCGCGTGAGCTTTCTGGCTTGCTTAATTAGACATTGTTTTTGTACCATTTGGTTATGACCCTTCGTAAGGAGGCAACACTTTAGTGTTGAGATCATAAGATCTGACCAAATGCTACGGTACTATTACGGCGTTGGTTCTGTAACATTAGGGGTCGGACTTCGATAATAACCTTTAGCGTAGGTGGCCGTACTAAGGCTATAGCACAAAAGTCTCAGTAAGTAGGGCCCTGGGGTAACGTTAAGATACTATTACGCTAATAGTTTATCTCTCTAGGCCATTGATCTACGACTCCGACGAGAGTAGCGATAGCGAGAGGCCGCTACGTCTCCAGAAAAAGCCGAAGATATTTAGTAATAAAGGCGCTGAGTCTCCAAAACCCCGACCGTACGTATACTATATAATAACCGTTTCGTAAATAGTACGGCTAATACTCTATAGTACTTCTAACAGGCCTGAGTCCCCGATTGAAATGTAAGTAATACTATTCGAGAAATGTTTAAATACTAATATAAAAAAAACTAGAAGTACGCAGTCGAGTAGTTCACTTCCATCAGAAAACGAGCAGCCTAGTAGGGAGCAGTAAGTCTCCTATTGTTATCGTAATAGTTCGCTACCATTACTAATCGGTGGGTAGCGAGAACAATATAGAGGGAGAGGATCTAGAGGATCCTATAGATCCAAATATCCAGTTTGCTATCGATTTCTTGAATAGTGGGCATACTGGCTCGTAAGTTCTAACTATTATCCTATTATTATAGTAACGTTAACATTTAGGTAGGACAAACATCGACGACATGGTCGATAAGATGGGCGACTCGGGAGGTGCGGGGCTGTCGGCGGGGTAAGTATACCTTCACCGTTATAGTATCGTTACGGTAACGTTTATCGTCTAGTAGAGAAAATGTCGACGACATGGTCGATGAGATGGGCGACTCGGGAGGTGCGGGGCTGTCGGCGGGGTAAGTACACCTTCACCGTTATAGTATCGTTACGGTAACGTTTATCGTCTAGTAGAGAAAATGTCGACGGCATGGTCGATAAGATGGGCGACTCGGGAGGTTCGGAGGTGTCGGCGGGGTAAGTATACCCTTACCGTTACAGTATCGTTACGGTAACGTTTATCTTCTAGTAGGGAGAATGACGCCATGGTCGATGAGATAGGCGACTCGGGAGGTGCGGAGGTGTC